CAGAAGGATGAGATAGAAAAACAATGTACAGCGATGCTGAACCAAGGGATCATACGCAAAAGTCACTCCCCCTTCTCTTCGCTGGTTCTGTTGGTGGCAAAGCAGGATGGAACGTGGAGGTTCTGTGTTGACTATAGAGAACTCAATGACCGGAAGATCAAAGATAAGTTCCCTATTCCCGTTGTGGACGAACTGCTGGACGAGTTGCATAGTGCCCAGTATTTCTCTAAGTTGGACCTCAGGTCCGGATAYTTCCAAGTTCGCATGGCTCCCAGTGACGTGAAGAAGACTGCTTTTCGCACCCACCATGGCCACTTCGAATTTTTAGTCATGCCATTCAGACTCTCCAATGCACCATCTACATTTCAGGCACTAATGAACGAGGTATTCCAGCCCCATCTGCGCAAATTTGTTTTAGTTTTCTTTGATGATATCCTYRTTTAYAGCAAATCATGGGTAGAGCATGTCCACCATCTGAGGACCATTTTCGTACTCCTACGCCAACACAGCTTATTCCTGAAACGGTCCAAGTGCTCCTTCGGGGAACGACAGGTTCTTTACCTCGACCACATCATCCATGGGCAGGGTGTAACAGTTGATAGTTCCAAGATTCAGGCTATAACAGAATGGCCCAAACCTCAATCCGCCAAGGCCTTACGCGGGTTCCTCGGTTTAACGGGATACTACCGCAAATTTGTACAGAACTATGGAGTGTTGGCAGCCCCGTTAACCAACCTGTTGAAGAGAAACTCCTTCCGGTGGGACGACGCAGCTGATGAAGCTTTTCTATCACTGCGAAATGCACTGTCTTCAACCCATGTCCTGCAATTACCTAATTTTGCCCTCGAATTTACAGTCGAGTCCGATGCTTCTGGAGTGGGTATCGGGGCCGTACTACAGCAGCAAGGGCACCCGATCGCTTTCTTCAGCCACAGATTGGCCGACCGGCATCTGAAGCTTCCAGCCTATGAGCGCGAACTAATCGGCCTTGCCCGAGCCATCCAGCACTGGAGGCCGTATTTGTGGGGGCGGTCATTCATCGCCAAAACTGATCATTACAGCCTCAAATACCTGTTAGAGCAGCGTCTCACCACTTCCCCTCAGCAGCATTGGGTTAGCAAACTGCTCGGGTTTGACTTCCG